GTTGCCAGCAGGTGGAGGGAGGTGATCCTGCCCCTCTCCTCAGCCCTGGGGAGGCCACATCTGGAGTACTGTGTCCAGTTCTGGGCTCCCCAGTACAAGAGAGACATGGCACTACTGGAGAGAGTCCAGCGAAGGGCTACAAAGATGATGAGGGGACCGGAGCATCTCTCCTATGAAGAAAGACTGCGAGAGCTGAGACTGTTCAGTCTGGAGAAGAGAAGGCTCAGGGGGGATCTGATCAACGTGTATAAGTATCTGAAGGGAGGGTGTCAAGAGGATATGGGGCCAGACTCTTGTCCGTGGTGCCCAGCAATAGGACAAGAGGCAACGGGCACAAACCGAAACACAGGTTTCTGTGTTTTTCTCATCTGAACATGAGAAAAAACTTCTTCACTGTGAGGGTGACAGAGCATTGGAACAGGTTGCCCAGAGAGGTAGTGGCGTCTCCTTCACTGGAGATATTCAAAAGCTGTCTGGACAAAACCCAGGGTAACGTGCTCTAGAGGTCCCTGCTTGAGCAGGGAGGTTGGACTAGATGATCTCCAGAGGTCCCTTCCAACCTTGACCATTCTGTGATCTGTGACACAGCACAGAATAGAGCGTTTTTTTGTTTGTTTGTTTGTTTTTTTAAACTTCCTACCTTTCAGGAGGAAAGATAGGAACTCCTCCCCTTCCCATACAGGTCATCTGAGAATCTGTTTCTAAACAATTTTTAAAAGTGCAACTTTTTTTTTTTCTTTAAAAGAGATTGTCTTAAGCTAGCAGTGAGTTAAGATGAAATTTCATGATCAGTTTAAGCTATCAAGACCTCCAGAGGAGAATTTGGCACTGATCCAAGTGAAAAGCTAACATTTAATTTTTTTTTTTTCTCCTCCTCCATTTGGTCAAACTTTAGCTCTACAGAGTGGAAACATTTATGTAGTGGTGAGCAAATCCATCCCTTTTAGCAGAGGCTCAGTCTTAGATGTAGCTGTCCTTAAAAAAAAAAAAAAAAAGAAGATTTTCAGGCATTCTCCACCCACCAACAAAGAATTTCAATGCTAATTTTTCTGAAAGGCAGAAAAGAAATGCCCTCCCACCTTCAATCTGCTTCGCTTAGGAACAAAGAGTGGTTTTATCTTTTCTTTAAGCCTGCTCTCTGTTCCCATGATGGCACTGGCAAATATTCTGAGGAGAAACAAGGATCCTCTTCCTTCTTCCACATGTCCTGCATTAAAAGGACTTCCCCAGAGCTATCCATCTCATACAGATATATGTATAAATATACAAAAATAAAAATTCAAACTCATACTCTATAAACTGAAGTCCTTTCTTAATGTCCTGTTGTCTAATGCTTCTCTCTTCCGACACATTGGACATGTTATCCTGAACATCCACTTTCTGGAGATGCAACTACTAAAATTGGAGGGAAAAAAAAAAAAAAGGCTGTTAATATGTAGTAGTTTGCCTTTGCACTAGAAGGATCAAATCTCACAGCAATACCAAGTCCATCATACAAAGATTATACTGCATCACAGCTTTAGAAAACACGCTCTGAAGAAGTTTCAGGCAAGCATTAACATTTCAGTGGTGATACAGGCAGAAGCCCCAAGTCAGAACCAACCCCTCCTCTGTCAGGGTCCACAGTTACGTAATATTTCATTAGAAAACCTCCCTTCTAATTTCTGCTTTACCATTGTCTTTTTACTTATTACTCTAGATGACGCAGGGCCACGTTAGTCAAACTGACCCTCAAATGTAATTCCATATTGTCAACTTGTCATTTACATCTCATTTAAAATAGTCTAAATCAGTTAGTGCTTTTCTTCATGTCTCATTTAATGGCTTTACTATTCAAGTTAAATAGGTTAAAACTTAAATGATCTGTATAACCTTCAAGATAAGGCTAGCTGAAGTATGGTTTCAAGGTCACATATACTTGCAAGGGTCTAATCACAATACAGAAATATCACATTTTACAAGGGGGGACAGCAGGACAAAGTTTTATCCTGAAAAAAAAAAATTCTGGAAAAAACCTTTTAGCTGGAGGAAACTTACATTTTTGTGAAGAAAATTAGCATTTGTAAAGATTTATGGTAAAAAACATTAAACTGCATGCACTACATCTTTGTTAGCTGAAATCAAACTTTAAAAAAAGTATTTTGCATCAAATTACAATTTCACATCACTAATGGAAGAACAAATACAAAGGAAAATAAAAAAAAGAAAATAAACTCCAGCGAACTCTCAAAATCCCACCTGAGAACAGAAACCTGCTCAATATCATGCCTTGCTTTCTCAGAGCACTTTGAGATACTGAAAACTGCTGAAGAGCTCTCAGCTCTACAAATGGTTACAAACCCTTCTGAAGAACTGTAAATCAGTTTATGCAACCTACACCATTTCAAGTCCTTAAGAGTTAGTCCTGTCCTAACACACACATGCCTAAAATGAGCCTAAGAGGCTGAGTAATTTCCTGGATGTCACTAACAAGTTAACAGAAGCACTTCAAGGTCCCGATTTCACCTCTTTTCATTGTGACCTCTGATACCAACAAGCTAAAAAAGAATGAGACTCTGCAGGTAACTATCACTAACAACTAGAATAGCTCACAGACAGGAATTATTCAGATATTGCCTGCTTAGATATATAAATAACACTCAACAATCTTTTTCCAAGAAAGGAAGTAACCACAAAAGCCTTTCGCAACTGTGTTTTTCTCATTATTTTGCACGTGTCAAGATCTGGGCAAGTATTAAGATTGGCTTTAATCTACCCATTTCAAGCAACTCCAGCGTTCCACACCAATGACTTGCCAAGAGATCAGGAAAGTCCAGTGCAGCAACAACTGTATCTATTTATCACTTCTAACATAAATATCAAAGAATAAATCACATATTCATAGTTGAGGATGTACAGGTCCAATTTTTCCATAATATTAAATTTAATGGAACTGTTACAAGTCAGCATCATAGTTAAAGGAAAGGAAGGCAAGTGAGGAGCATATGTATGTGGTATAATTTATTATTCAAAGTTGTTGTTCTGTTTTATTCCCATTTATCCATCTGCACCCCTAAGATGTTCAGGCAAAATTATCTTTCTTTAATGTACTTGCGCAGTCAAGTACATTGCTGAACACTGCCCTAAGAGTTGACTGATTTCACTGCAATAGATGTCTCAGATAATACCTCTAATAGCATCTTTAATTCAAATTATTCTTAGACTCTCTTGTGCTAAAAGAAACACATTTGACTCAGTTACATACAGTTACACAAGGCAAAAAGTAAAGGTGACTTGACTGTCATTGTCATTCATGCACTTTCAAAGTTAGAAAATTACCTATTTAGCAACATTTTTTCCTCCTCTATCTGCAGAGACAGGGTGTAAAACAAAACAAAGCAAAATTGTATATACAAAAATTTGCTCTGTTGCTTGTAACTCTCTATTATCAGAAAAGCAGAGCTGCTTTTCTGTCTGTCACTTTATTCTTTATATGATTCCCTGAAAGAGATAAGCTAAAGGACAGAGAAAAATAGCATGGAACATGGAAAAAGCAGACTAGCATACCAATGACACAGGTTCCATGCAGAACCCACTGTTGCATAAATGTTGTACTTCTACAACTACTGCTGTAAATATAAACAATACAAGCTCAATTTAGTAAATTTAGCAAACCAAAAAGGCTTTCTAAAAAGCCAGCAAATTAGAGAACAATTGCTATTGGTTATTTTGTCATAGACTTCAACTCATCCTGTAAAGTGACACAAAGTACACTGCCAGTAACCAGCGTCACCTTTTCTAATGCACATAGGCCCAGTCATACAAACAGGAGATAAGGAGGAAAACAAGTTTGTGCCAGCACTAGCAGAGGGAAAACCTGTACTTTCCTCCTAGAAAAAGCTCATGTATGCCTCTTACTGGTTACTTTCCTTCTGGGACAGGGCAAGATGATTTTCTTGTTCTCTACATTTTGCCACTTCCGATGCGTTCAAGGTAAGTAATTCCTAATATTTAGGATATGCCTGCGATAGAACTGTTTAGGCACAAGGGCTTTGAACGCAACAATTCCTACACTATCTTGCAAGCCAAAACGGATCTTTGGAATGAAAATCAACCAATTTCATGTACGCTCCACTTGAACACAATGGGGAGAACTTTCTGCAGAGCACAGAGAATTTAGTTTATCTACAGAAGGAATACTGGCCTTGGTTATTCTGAAGAGGAAGGTCACATTGTTTAACAACTGCGGACAGTCTCGCCTTTCCATTCCTAAACCTGAAGTCTAACAATCACCACTATTTAGGTCTGACGCGGCATTTTTCAGAGATTCCAAAGTCAAGTGATTCAACAAAGGCAGCAAAGCGCACAAACCTAGCAGGCAAAGAACCACAGTTCACCCTGCATGCAACTTGCCCCATTGGAAATTCAGTTCTGAAGATTAGGGAACTGCGCAAGATCAATTCTCTCTCCTATTGCATACAGTTGTCCAGCCAACTTACTTAGATATAAATGCAGAAAAGAGGAAAAAACGCATACGCTTGATGGGGACCAGAACTACTACAACAGGGTTCCGATGACCTTCAGCTGACCGCGATTCCCCTAACTGTTCCTTAAACACTGACATTTCCAGAAAGTACAAATATTCCCAAAAAGTATAAAAGCCTTCTCTGCACCTTCCGATCTAACTACTGCTCTCCCTTCTCCACAAAGCTAAAACTCAAAACATGGGCATTGCATAGATAAGACTTTTAAGATGGCGTATCCTCTTGCCATGCATCACCAAGTTCAGTATTACTGCAATTACTGGGTTACAGGAATCTTAAATCAGATCTTTGTACAGCACAAACTACATCAAAAATGTTATCATAATAAAAACATGCAGATCATTGATCGGGATTGTTGCAGATCGTGATCAGCCTCAGTGGCTAAGCTGAATTGTAAGCCCTGATTAGGGTGCAAGCCTGATGAGAACTGCACTGTGCTAAGAGACCCCATTATGTATTACAGTATCAACTTTCTCCCTCTCTTTATGCCACTGGCAGAAGAGACTATATAAAAAGGCAAGAAACTCAAAACATTGGATGAACTCAGCCAAAATGAATCCATCACTTACACCATCATATGTCAAAACTGTGATCAGCAATCAGAAACCGTGAAATCAGGACTCTGTGTATAAAATGAAAATATAAACAGTTCAGCAGTTTTTCCACATAGGAAAACTATATCCTGGTGCAGGAAAACCGTACTCAGTCTTGCCTTTAGAATAAAGGGGATCCTGCAAATCAAAGGGGGAAGACTGAAACACAATGCTAGAACTGAGCACATGACTGACTCAAGGGCAGCATCACCAACCCCGTTCTCCCCAGAGACGCTAAAGTCCATCTCTGTTACTACCCCCCAGTAGCAGCAAGCAAAGCAAGAGTTCAGGCATCTGGATCCAAAAAGCTAAATAACTTCCACATCTAGGGGCACAAAAAAGCAGGCCCCTACCTCTAGGGAAGCAAGGACATGGCACACCGCCAGCTACACCCTAACTCCTAACTGCTTCTTAGTGACGGGTCACTGACAGAAAGATCTCCGCTGCTCGCAGCTCCAACCAACCCAAAAAACAAACTGGATGTGAAGCACCTGCCCAACTTAGACTAAGGAAAGCCTGACCCATAAGCGACTGCTCAAAGTAGCTTTATTGTTCATCCTAACCATCTGACAGTTTAAACAAATAGTTACAGATAACGAACTACAATGCAAATCAAAACGTGCCTTCCAGAGACTCTAAACTGCTCAATAGACTTAGGCTAGAATCAAAATGAGGAAATGCAAACAGGAATCTTAATACCCAGGAGTTGGTTTTGTCCATTTGTTCCCACTCATTTTCTTCAATGGCTCCCTTTATCTTTGGAAAAGGATGCAAGTTATATTTAAAACAGTTGCAGCACTGTTTCAGTAACAGAGTTCAGTGAGTTTACAAGGAAATGGCAAAATTAAGACTTACAACAGAAAGACTACACTGAGTCTTTGCATACAGGACTTTAAAAGAAGTAGTTACAATGTAAATCATGAAAGCTGTTAGCTTTACTTAATGATTGTACTGCACAAAGTTTATTATCAAAAAGCGTTCTTACATATGCCAAAGGACAAAGAATTGTTTTAACCACAGCTACAGTTACTGAAGCATAAATTCCCAAAGTCATAATCTGCAAAAACTGCTCTACACTTAAGGATTCAAAGTAGAAATGTAAAAGAAGGCATATTTTCAGAACATTAAGATCACAGCTACAAAAGATTTTATATATCTTCCTCAAATAACACAGCCACAAAAGGTTTCATATGCATAACCATGCATCACTGGGCCATTACATAAGACATTTCAGACATGTAACATGCAGGGGGAGAGGAGAGAAAGTGGCACACACACTACACATATTTCAATAGCTCTGAGTTTGTTCCTGTGCTAAATTTAATACTTCTGGTTACAGCCATAGAATTTTATTAAGACAGATGCAAAGACATTTAGCAACACAGACCCAAATAACTGTTCCTGTTGACAGATATTAAAAAAATGAAGCCACCTTGAGTGTTGTGAAAAGGAAATATTCAAATAAAACAAATAAAGCAGAACACGTAGTCATCGTTTAACATTAACGCACACTACGTTCTTTATTCAGCAGCAATTTTCTGTTACAACTCCTCTTACTCCTTCCCTACCCACAAAACAACGAAACGCTGTTCAAGGTTTATTTTCTACTTTCACATCCTTCCTATAATTTCCAATCCCTAAAAAAGCAGGAGAGAACAAGGAAGCTTTGTAAAGTCACCTCGCACGCCTAGGAAATGAAGGAGTTGGGCTGGAAGACTTTGCTTTATGGTTCTCTCACCTGTTTCAATAAAGAACATATCCAACATTTGAACTGATGGAAAAATATCTTAGCGATAAAACCAGATCTACTGATAGAATAATAAATAAATTAAAAAGCCCAAAATACATTTTAAAAACAAACAAACAAACAAACAAACTAAAGCTCAGTAATCGACTTGGCCGTCTGCGGTTGACGCTGGTCCCCGAGCGCACCACAGTCACCACTTTCCCCAGACTATCCTGCCTGCCTCCAAACACCACCACCACTGCTTAACTGGGAACAACAGCTCAACGCATCAAGGAAGAGTGGCATTGCCTTTTTCCCCACAGTTTGCCTTTAAAAGGACGGAGGAACGAAAGCACAAGTGGCGAAGAGGTGCAGCGCGGAGCCTGAAAAGCAGAGCCCGGCCGGGGCGGCCCCCGCCGCTCCGTCCCTCCCGTTCGCCTGTCAAACGCTGGGGTTCGGCTCCCACCGCGAAGTAACGGCAGAGCTCTTCACACGTCGCTTTTCCTTGGAGCAAAACGGCGGCGGGTCGGGAGCC